AGAGAGAGAAAGAGAGACATCTATGTGAGAGACACATTGATCAGTTGCCTACTACGCTCACCCTGACCCAGCCGGATTGTGCCTGCAACTTAGGTACATGTCCTTGACTGGGAATCGAACCCAGACCCTTTGGTCCATGGGCCGATGCTGTAACCACTGAGAAATGCCAGCCAGGGCTGATACATGAAATTTTTAATGCTGAACCTCTGTAGCAGTGTCTTTCTAGATTCTTTTTTTTTTTTTTTTTTTTAAATCCTCATCTGAGGATATTTTCCCATTGATTTTTAGAGAGAGTGGAAGAGAGAGGGAAAGACAGAAACATCGATGGGAGAGAAACATATCAATTGGTTGCCTCCTGCATGTGTGCTGACCCGGGTCTGGGCCAGATAGAAGCCTGCAACTTAAGGTATGTGCCCTTGACCGGAATCGAACCCAGGACCCTTTAGTCTACAGGCTGGTGCTCTACCCACTGAGCCAAACCATCTAGGGCTCTTTCAGGATTCTAAATGCATCTCAGCCCTCTCCTACAGACAGACTGGGCACAGCATCTTGACAATAGCCCACATTTGTTTTTGTTTTTAAATATATTTTATTGACTTTTTACAGAGAGGAAGAGAGGGGGATAGAGAATTAGAAACATCGATGAGAGAAACATCGATCAGCTGCCTCCTGCACACCCCCTACTGGGGATGTGCCCGCAACCAAGGTACATGCCCCTGACCGGAATCGAACCCGGGACCTTTCAGTCCGCAGACCGACGCTCTATCCACTGAGCCAAACCGGTTTGGGCAATAGCCCACATTTGTAAGTGAAGCACCGAGAGCTCGCCATCACCCAGATGCTAGTGAGAGTCAGGACTCGGACCCAGACAGTTTGGATCTGTAACCTGTATTGCCTTTCTCCTCTCACTGATTTCCTTGACCACAGTAACACACACACACACACACAGAAAGTCATTGGAAAGGTTGAAGTGGCCGATACTGGTTTGGCTCAGTGGATAGAGCGTCGGTCTGCGGACTGAAAGGTCCCGGGTTCGATTCCGGTCAAGGACATGTACGTTAGTTGCTGGTACATCCCCGGTAGGGGGTGTGCAAGAGGCAGCTGGTCGGTTTTGATCTCTCATCGACATTTCTAGCTCTCTATCTCTCTCCCTTCCTCTCTGTAAAAAATCAAAATATATATATATATATATATATATATATATATTTTTTTTTTTTTTTTTTTTTTTTTTTTAAAGAAAGGTTGAAGTGGCTACACGGGGAATACAATTTCCTTCTCACCCCATTCTGTGGTCACCCAGTTCTCCTTCTGGAAGCGCTTCGGTTGCCTGTATCTGCTTTTAGAGGTCACATATGCATTTATAAGCAAGTATGAACGCGGTCATTGGTTCGCTGTTGATGCTGATGACAGCATACCTTTCCTCGCTGTGGGTTTTTCTTCCTCTTAACAAATTATCTTCAAGGTTAACCGCAGCCCCTCCTTGTCCTTGCTACATGCTAGGATGCCGCCCCCAGGACAGTGGTCGGCAAAATGCGGCTCGAGAGCCACATGCGGCTCTCTGGCCCCATGAGTTTTTGGCAATGGCCAGCTTAGGAGTACCCTAATGCAGTTAATAACAGTATACCTCCCTATATAGTTTATGTTTAAAAACTGGCTCTCCAAAGAAATTCCAGTCGTTGTACTGTTGATATTTGGCTCTGTTGACTAGTGAGTTTGCCGACCACTGGCCCAGAAGAAGCAATGTAAACTATACTGTTGAGCCGTCTGCTATAGAGAACTGTGAAGTTATGTGGAGGTCTATGCTTCCAGGTAAAATAAGTCGGATTTCTAAATATACAACCATGTCGCAGGCGATTCTGTTTTCAGAGCCATGTCCTATGATTCGATGTCATGTGAGTCTGGTTGCTACACAGGCAGTTTCTCTTTCTTAGTACTTCCCTCATTTGAGGCCGCCCTGTCACTAGCACTATTTCAAGTGTCATCATCTTCTCAGTCTCCATTGACCTCTTAGAAATATGTTCATTAAAATGGCAATAGTAGCCCTAACTGGTTTGGCTCAGCGGATAGAGCGTCGTCCTGCAGACCCAAGTGTCCTGGGTTGGATTCTGGTCAAGGCCACGGTTACAGGCTCCTCCGCAGCCCTGGTCGGGGCAACCAATTGATGTGTTTCTCTCCCATCGATGTTTCTCTCTGTCTCTCCCTCTCTCTTCCACTCTCTCTAAAAGATCAATGGAAAATATCCTTGGATGAGGATTAAAAATAAATAAATTAAATTAAAATAAAATAGTATATTGTTTTATGAGTAACACCCCCTATCTTATGACATATATGCCCATCCACAGCTTCAAGCCTCCTTGTCTCTGATCTTCCAACCCTTTTCCATATAGTCTTTCGGATAGGCCATTGGGCACTTCCCAGGAATGAGTGAATGAATGAATGAGTGAATGAATGAATAACTAATTCCCACTTCACCTTCTCCACAAAGTGGATAACAAGGTGCACCACTCACAGCCCCACTGTCTGAGGGACACCCCCGGGTATGGCTGGAATGCAACTGCCAGTCATTTTCAGCTTCTACTCAGATACTGAATTGACCCTTCCGTAGAGCAAGCTCAGCCTGCTCCTCCTCCTCCATATTGTTTTTTATTTATATTTTACCGGGGTGGAGGGCACTTTTAGAGATTTCCACTTGGACTTCCCCACAATCATCGTGCTACCCGAAGACCTGGGCTACTTCAACATCAATAGTTAATTTTTTAAAAAATTTTAAATTGATTTCAGAGAAGAAGGGAGAAGGAGAGAGAGATAGAAACATCAGTGATGAGAGAGAATCATTGATCAGCTGCCTCCTGTATGCCCCCCACTGGGGATTGAGCTTGCAACCCGGGCATGTGCTCTTGACCGGAATTGAACCCGGGACCCTTCAGTCCCCAGACCGACGCTCTATCCACTGAGCCAAACCAGCTAGGGCCAACATCAATAGATTAGAAAGGTGAGGGAGAGCCAGCAAAGAAGACTGGGAAGAAGCATTTCAGGGAGGAAAGGGTGATCATCTGTGAGATGCATAACCTCAGACTAATCATGTGAAAACATTGGACAAATACAAACTGAGAGACAGTCTACAAAATGGTAGCTTGCCTGGCTGGTGTGGCTCAGTGGTTGAGCAACAATCAGGGCATGTGCCCAGGTTGTGTGCTCGATCCACAGTGTGGTGTGTGCAAGAGGCAGCCGATCAGTGATTCTCATCATTGATGTTTCTCTCTCTCCCTCTCCCTTCCTCTCTAAGATCAATAAAAATATATATTAAAAAAAACAACAGCTGAATCTGGTTTGGCTCAGCCGTAGAGCATCAGTCTGCGGATTGAAAGGTCCCAGGTTCAATTCCAGTCAAGGGCATGTACTTTGGTTGCGGGCACATCCCTGGTAGGGGGTGTGCAAGAGGCAGCTGGTTGATGTTTCTCTCTCATCGATGTTTCCAGCTCTCTCTCCCTTCCTCTCTATAAAAAAAAATCAATAAAATATATATTTTTAAAAACAAAAAACAATAACAACAAACAAACAAACACAGTAGCCCTGTCCTCTTAAAAAATGTCAAGGTCATAAAAGGCTGAGGAACTTTTCCTAATGAAGGATGATTAAAGAGATGTGCAAACTCAATGCAGTGTCCAATCCTGAATTGAATTTTTGTCTAGGAAAAGAAAATATCTATACATATAAAAGCCTAAATCAGTGGTCTGCAAAGTCAGTCAACAGAGCCAAATATCAACAGTACAACAATTGAAATTTCTTTTGAGAGCCACATTTTTTAAACTTAAACTTCTTCTATCGCCACTTCTTCAACATAGACTCACCCAGGCCATGGTATTTTGTGGAAGAGCCACACTCAAGGGGCAAAAGAGCTGCATGTGGCTCGAGAGCTTCAGTTTGCCAACCATGGGCCTAAACGACCGAAGGACCAGTCAACTGGTTGCTATGACTTGCACTGACCACCAGGGGGCAGATTCTCTGACCAGTAGGTTAGCTTGCTGCTGGGGTCCAGCCAGTCAGGACTAGGCGAGTCAGGCCGGACATGCCCTGGAGCCAACCTCCCACAGTCCCTCCCCGGCCTCTAAAATATTCTAATTAATTTGCTTTCAATGTGCATATTTTTTTTTAAAGGACTGAAAGAGGGAAGAGCAGTTGGGTCTGATCTCACCAGAGCTCTTGGCACTGGAGAGGCGCTTATTGTTGGAATGGGAAAGGCCGCACCATCCGTGCTCACTTCTCTGCGTTACTGAGGCTTTCCACCACAGCTATCCCCTCTCCTCCTCCCATTCTGAGTTAACCCCCTTGGCCCTTCACTATGGAGTGTGTGTGTGTGTGTGTGTGTGTGTGCACGTGCGTGTGTGTGTGTGTGTATGTGTGTGCACGTGTGTGTGTGTGTGCGTGTGTGCGCCCCATGTCAGTACACAGCTCCTTACCAGGAGTTCTTGGGGCCCAATGTGCATTAAAAATCACAGTTTTCCTGGCTGTGTTCTCCTTTTTTAATTCTCCCAGCAGGGCAGTACCCTGCAAATCAAACACATTAATATTTCTGCAGAGAGCTGAATCAACATGTCTATTAAGTTGGCTAAATAAAGCTTCCAGACAGCTTCACATAAATTCAAAGAGATTGGATGCCAAACTCAGCACTGTTGGTTGTCAGAGCCTTGGGGTTTAATTTTTTAAAAATATACTTTTATTAATTTCAGAAAGGAAGCGAGAGGGAGAGAGAGACATCAATGATGAGAGAGAATCATTGATTGGCTGCCTCCGGCATGCCCCCTACTGAGGATCAAGCCCGCAACCCCGGCATGTGCCCTGACCAGGAATCGAACCGTGACCTCCTGGTTCACAGGTCAATGCTCAACCACTGAGCCACACCTGCTGGGCCATGGGTTTTAGAATTGCTATTACAGACTGACCTGGGGGGTGATTTTCGCTGCTTACTTCACACATTGCTCTGTTGTTTTGATGGACAGGCCGTGAAACACCAATTGAATGCCGTGACCGAGGACATGTATACCGATGGGCCTGCTGCCCCGGGTAGCCCTACCCAGGGTAAGGGACAGGAGGTGCGGAAGGTGCGACTCATCCAGTTCGAGAAGGTCACCGAGGAGCCTATGGTAACCCCTTGTCCTTTGACCCGCTGCTTACTCTCAACCACATAAGTCACTGGGCCCCGAGAGGAAACTCGGAAGCTGAGTTAGGAGAGCAGCCAGCTGTCACATAGTATTTCTCCATCTCAAGTTCCTCCTCCATGCAGGCTTCATGCCTGTTCTAGTTGAGGAGCACCCCATGTGTAGATGCAAAATCTTTCTCCTGAAAAATTGCCTTACAACCAAGATTACTATACCCAGAAAAGCTATCATTCAGAATTGAAGGTCAGATAAAGAACTTCATAGATAAAATAAAATAAAATAAAATAAAATAAAATAAAATAAAATAAATCTAAAGGAGTTCATCACCGCTAAACCAGAATTATATGAAATGCCGAAAGGTATTCTTTAAGAAGAGGAAGAAGAAGAAAAAAGTAAAGATAAAAATTATGAACAACAAATATGTATCTATCAAGTGAATCTAAAAAGCAAGGGAATAAAAAATCTGATGTACAGTATTAACTGGAGAATATAATAGAATCAGGGGCATAGAAGGTGTGGACTGACAATTCTCAGGGGGGGGCAGGAAGAGGAGTGGGGGTGCGGGAAGAGACTGAACAAAAAGTTTTCACCTGCTGAAACCAGTTTGGCTCAGTGGATAGAGCATCAGCCTGCGGACTGAAGGGTCCCAGGTTCGATTCCGGTCAAGGGCATGTACCTTGGTTGTGGGCACATCCCTGGTAGGGGGTATGCAGGAGGCAGCTGATCGATGTTTCTCTCTTATTGATGTTTCTAACTATCCCTCTCCCTTCCTCTCTGTAAAAAATCAATAAAATATATATATATATTTAAAAAACGTATACCTATGGAGGATAGTGGCGGGGAGTGTGGAGGCAGAGGGTGGGATAGGAACCTGGTGGAGGGGAGATATGGAGGGAAAAAGAGGAACAATTGTAATAATCTGAACAATAAAGATTTATTAAAATAAAATAAAATAAAAATTGCCTTAAATGATCTTCAAAATAACCTCAGAAAGAGCTTAAAGTAAAGCATTCTGCACCGTTGTCTCTGTTTCAGGGAATCACTCTGAAGCTGAATGAAAAGCAGTCCTGTACGGTGGCGAGGATTCTTCATGGCGGCATGATTCACAGACAAGGTACTCTGCGGGGTTCCTAGATTGTGTCCCTCACCTCAGTGGTGAGGGACGTGAAGTTTATAATCTTCAAAACCAGGAGCATTTTTGGGCCCTAGCCTGTGTGGGTCAGTCATAGAGCTTCAGTCCTGACAATGAAGGGTCATGGGTTCGATTCCCCGTCAAGGGCATGCACCTCGGTGGCAGGATTGATCCCCGCTTCCAGTCAGCCTGCATGTGGCAGGCAATCAACCAATCGATGTGTTTCTCTCCCTCCACCCCGCCCATTTCCAATATCTCTAAAAATCAAGGGGAATAATATCCTTGGGTAAGGATTAACAAAAAAAAACACAGCAGTTTTTTATGTGTGCCAAAGATTATTTGTGGCTTAATAACTGGCTTTTTAGAATAATTGAGTGATAAGCTCTTCATATGAATTGCTCAGTGCTTATACACCCATTTATATGCTAGAGGCCTGGTACACGGGCCCAAGGGGATCAGGCTGAAACCGGCTCTCCGACATCCCCTGAGGGGTCCCGGATTGCAAGAGGGTGCAGACCACCCCATCAATGCACAATTGGGGCCAGGGAGGGACTGAAGGAGGGTTCCAGGGCATGTCTGGCCCATCTCACCCAGTCCCGATTGTCTGGACCCCAGTAGCAAGCTAATCTACCTGTTGGCTGTCTGGCCTCTGGTGGTCAGTGTGTGTCATAACAACTGGTCGAATGGTCAGACACTTAGCACATTGGGCTTTTATTATATATTAATAGAATACCAATATTTTCCCATTTAATATTTGAGCAATTATTGTATACAACCCATTGCATTAGAATTTGAGTACAGAGTAGTGAAGAAAATAGACCATCTATACCTCCTGGAGCTCACAATTAAATTGAGCAAATAGACATTAAACATTAGCTCCTACCCTTTTATGTACAGCTTTGTATCTGGGGTGTCACAGATATTGGTAAGCACTCTTCACACAGAATCTAAATACTGGTGAGCTTTACCATTAGGTAACATGTTGTTTTAACTAAACAACAAAGAAATATCGAACTTTCTGGCGAATGAGGAGAACCATGTACTTTGCCTTACATTGTTATTATTTTTAGTGGGATCTTTAATTACAGGGAACTTTGAGGATGAGGTGCTTTCATTTATTTATTTTTATTATTTTTAAAAATCCTCACTCGAGGACATGTTGAGAGAGAGAGAGAGAAAGAGAGAGAGAGAGAGAAACATCAATGTGAGAGAGAAACATCAATCAATTGGTTGCCTCCCGTACATGCCCCGATCGGAAATGGTACCCACAACCTAGGAATGTGCCCTGACAGGGAATCAAACGTGCAGTCCTTCAACCACCTGAACTACCTGGTCAGGGCAAGGGCGAGGTGCTTTTATTCTGCTGTCGGAGTACTGAGGTCAGGGAGGCTGTGATAGTCTTAAACCATGAAGTACTTGCCTTGATACATTCCTCAAGGGAAACAAAAGAACATTCATGGTTGAATTGTGTAAAATTCTGTATTTTATACTATCCTCTAGGTCGTAGTTTCTTTTCTGTGGTTTCCTTTTCTAAAAAATATATTTTATTGATTTTTTTACAGAGAGAAAGGGAGAGGGATAGTGAGTTAGAAACATCAATGAGACAAGAAACATCAACCAGCTGCCTCTTGCACACCCCCTACCGGGGATGTGCCCGCAACATGCCTTGGACCGGAATTGAACCTGGGACCCTTCCATCCTCAGGCTGACGCTCTATCCACTGAGCCAAACTGGTCAGGGCTAGATTCCTTTTAAAAAATATTTTTAAAAATTGATTTCAGAGAGGAAGGGAGAGGGGGAGAGTTAGAAACATCAATGATGAGAATCATTGATTAGTTGCCTCCTGCACGCCCCCTACTGGGGACCAAGCCCACAACCTAGGCATGTGCCCTTGACCGGAATTGAACCCGGACTCTTCAGTGTGCAGGCTGATGCTCTGTCCACTGAGCTAAACTGGCTAGAGCTGAACATTTATTATTTTTTAAAATACATTTTTATTGATTTCAAAGAGGGAGAGGGAGAGAGAGATAGAAACATCAATGATGAGAAAGAATCATTGATTGGCTGCCTCCTGCATGCCCCCTACTGGGGATAGAGCCCACAACCCAGGCATATGCCCTGACCAGGAATCCAATCATGTCCTCCTGGCTCTCAGATTGATGCTCAACCACTGAGCCACACCAGCCGGGCTAAACATTTATTCTACACAATTTTTTTTTTCTATTACAGTTTCCATTCGATATTATTCTATGTTAGTTTCAGGTATGCAGCGTAGAGATTAGACAATCATATGCTTTACAGAGTTGAACATTGATTCTTTTGTGGACTGATTTTTCATTTCACTGCAGGTTCCCTTCACGTGGGGGATGAGATCCTAGAAATCAATGGTACAAACGTGACCAATCACTCGGTAGATCAGCTGCAGAAGGCGATGGTGGGTATTTGCTATATCATTGTCCTCATTGGTGTCGTGTGCCTCATTCTTTCTGTCCAAGTATTTGTATCTCATGGAGAAAACCATTCGCAATCTTTATCCTGTGCAAGAAATGAGTTCTCTGTTTGCATTTAGTAAACTTCTCAAACAAGGCAAATAGCACAGAGTATCTGTCTAGAAAGAACATTGGCCTGGCTGGCAGAAGGCATTGGTCTGTAATGACAGCTCAGAATCCCTGCCTTTCTTTATTCTAGCCCTGTGATTTTGAGCAAGTGAATTAACTTCTCCAAGTCATCTGTAAAATGAAGATAGTAACTCCTATTCTTATGTCACAGATTTGTTATGCAAAGCAAATGGGATATTCTTTTTTTTTTTTTTTAATATATTTCATTGATTTTTTTTTTACAGAGAGGAAGAGAGAGGGATAGAGAGCCAGAAACATTGATGAGAGAGAAACATCGATCAGCTGCCTCCTGCACACTCCCCACTGGGTATGTGCCCACAACCAAGGCACATGCCCCTGACCAGAATCGAACCCGGGACCCTTGAGTCTGCAGGCCGACGCTCTGTCCACTGAGCCAAACCAGCTAGGGCAACAGTAAACATTTTTTTAAAAATATATTTTATTGATTTTGTACAGAGAGGAAGGGAGAGAGATAGAGAGCCAGAAACATTGATGAGAGAGAGAGTCATCGACCAGCTGCCTCTTGCACACCCCCTACTGGGGATATGCCGGCAACCAAGGTACATGTTCTTGACTGGAATCGAACCCGGGACCTTTCAGTCCCCAAGCTGACGCTCTATCCATTGAGCCAAACCAGTCTCGGCAAACATTTTTTTTTAAACAACCCATGGGGCCCTGACTGGTTTGGCTCGGTGGATAGAGCATTGGCCTGCGGACTCAAGGGTCCCAGGTTCGATTCCGATCGAGGGCATATACTTTGGTTGTGGGCATGTCCTCAGTGGGAGGAGCGGGGGTTTGCAGGAGGCAGCTGATCGATGGTTCTCTCTCATCGATGTTTCTAACTCTCTATCCCTCTCCCTTCCTCTCTGTAAAAAATCAATAAAATATATATTTTTTTTAATTTTAAAAAAAACACCCATGAGTGGTTGGGTGTAATTGGCCACCGCAGCAGAAGCCACACCTGGGCATGAATCAGAGAACAGCAACCCGGGAGGAAGTGTCATTTGAAAACCAAAATGTGTTTTTTCACTTGAGACAGAAATGAGGAAACGGAACCTTGGAGAGTTCTGAAACTTGCCCACGATCACATGGCTTTTAAGAATTTGATTGCAGCCCTAGCCGGTTTGGCTCAGTGGATAGAGTGTTGGCCTGTGAACTGAAAGGTCCCGGGTTCGATTCCGGTCAAGGGCACATTCCTGGGTTGTGGACTGGATCCCCAGTGGGGCATGCAGGAGGCAGTCGATCCATGATTCTCTCTCTCTCTCATCATGGATGTTTCTATCTCTCTCTCCCTTCCTCTCTGAAATTAATAAAAAATACGTTAAAAATAATTTGCTTTCATCAAAACTCCTACTGTAGACTTCTGCTTCTGACCAAGATGGAGAACAGGCACCATACATATCCTGCCTCTTGAAATGACCCAATCCCAATGCCCAGGCCCCTAATGACAGAACTCCAAGGTACTTGAAGCAAAACCTGGCAGAACCAAAAGAAGAAAAATACAAATCCATGATTATAATCCAAGATTTCGCTATCTTTCTCTTTTCTTAAAATATATTTTATTGATTTTTTGCCGAAACCGGTTTGACTCAGTGGTAGAGCGTCAGTTTGCGGACTGAAAGGTCCCGGGTTCGATTCCGGTCAAGGGCATGTACCTTGGTTGCGGGCACATCCCCGGTAGGGGGTGTGCAGGAGGCAGCTGGTCGATGTTTCTCTCTCATCGACATTTCTGGCTCTCTGTCTCTCTCCCTTCCTCTCTGTAGAAAATCAATAAAATATTTTTTTTAAAATGGCAGTTGGGAAAAGAAACACATGGGATTCTGAGGGGGGAGATGACTTTATGAAACCCCAAATCATCCGCGTTCGTTTTCCTTAACATTTATTTCCCCTTCCTTTTTTTATAGAAAGAAACCAAAGGAATCATCTCATTAAAAGTAATTCCCAACCAGCAAAACCGTCTTCCTGCATTACAGGTGGGTGTGCTCTGTTGTGGTGATGGCAGAACTCAGGCCCAGTGTTGAGATGTGATTGAAATGGTATGATTGGATTGAAAATATTTTTAAAAATAGATTTTTTTTTATTGACTTCAGAGTGGAAGGGAGAGGGAGAGAGAGAAAAACATCAATGATGAGAATCATTGGTCAGCTGCCTCCTGCACGCCCCCTACTGGGGATGGAGCCCACAACCCGGGCATGTGACCTGACTGGGAATTGAACCATGGCCTCCTGGTTCATTGGTTGATGCTCAACCACTGAGCCACGCCAGCCGGGCATAACTTTTAAGTTTTATATATCTTACAGATATATTAATAGTTGGTGCTCTCTGAACAAAGCTAACATCTACCGGCAGGGTTAGTACTTTGCTGCCTGTTTGCAATGAATTCGAAAGAAAGGGATAATCTTCTTACTCCACAATCCCAAGAAGAAAATGGGTAAAGAGAATGAAGATCTCATTCCTAGGAGGGAAAACACACATGGCAGTAAACATGTGAAAACATATCCAATGCTGCCATCGAAGAGAGAAATAGCTCGGACCGGACGGGGCCTTGGCAGATGAATTGTGGGAGGAGTTTGGTTTGGTTTATTTATTTTTTTTAAATAACTCTGAAGTTTCTACTACAGATTATTGTAACAAGTTCAGAGGCTTTAATAGACATATCAGTGTTCATAGTTTTATTTTCTTGTGTCGTGTTTGGTAAATTGTGTTTTTCCAGTGATTTGTCAAAAGTATTGGTGTGAAATTGTTCATAAAAATCGTATAACCTTTTAAACAGCTCGGGGATCTCTACTGGGGAATGGTATCTTCTCTCTTTTCTTTTTTTAAAATATATTTTTATTGATTTCAGAGAGGAAGAGAGCGAGAGATAGAAACATCAATGATGAGAGAGAATCATTGACTGGCTGCCTCCTGCACGCCCCCTACTGGGGATCAAGCCCGCAACCTGGGCATGTGCCCTTGACCAGAATCGAACCTGGGACCCTTCTATCTGCAGGCAGACACTCTATCCACTAAGCCAAACCAGTTAGGGCTCTTCTCTTCTTAATTGGCCTTGCTAGGTTCTTAATTTCGTGTTTCTTTAAAGAACCGCTTTTGCCTTTGTTGATCCTCTCAACTCTTGTCTGTTTGATTTGTTTCTGCTCTTTATTATTTTTCTTCTTTCTTTGGCTTACATATACATACTTTTTAAAAAAATATCAAGTGTCAGCCGAAACCGGTTTGGCTCAATGGATAGAGCGTCGGCTTGGGGACTGAAAGGTCCCGGGTTCGATTCCGGTCAAGGGCATGTACCTTGGTTGCGGGCATATCCCCAGTAGGGGGTGTGCAAGAGGCAGCTGATCGATGACTCTCTCTCATCGATGTTTCTAACTCTCTATCTCTCTCCCTTCCTCTCTGTACAAAATCAATAAAATATATATTTTTTTAATTTTAAAAATAAATTAAATAAATAAATAAATAAAAAATATCAAGTGTGCTAGGTATTGTTTTTGTTGACTGATATTCTCATTTAATGTTATATCAGCATTATTTTTAAGGACTTTCAATATTCTTCTACACACTGATTTTTATAGGTATGTGGTCATATATTCAGTAGATGATCAAAACTTAACTAAATCCCCCATTCTTGGAAAATCAGGTTGTTTCCAATAGTTCATCCTTATACATAATTTTGTGGCCCTAGCTGGTTTGGCTCAGTGGTTGGAGGATCGGCCCAAGGACTCAAGGGTCCCAGGTTCGATTCCGGTCAAGGGCATGTACCTCGTTGCAGGTTCAATTCCCCTCCCCTCCCCCCGTCAGAAATCGTGTGAGCGGCAACCAGTCGATGTGTTTCTCTCACATCGATGCTTCTCTCTGGCTCTCCCTCTCTCTTCCACTCCCCTTAAAAATCAATGGAAAAATATGTGCAGGTGAGACAAGATAAATAAATAAAAGGAGAAGAAAAAAAATAATTCTCTGGTGAAGATATTATCTATACTTTGTAACTGACAACTTCTGCATAGAAGTGGGTTGTGGGGTCGAGGGGGCATCAACTCAGACCAATAACCACAAACATGTCACCTCAAAAAGACAGCTCATACCTTCTTGTTGGAGGGCTCGGGTCTGACCTCTCCACAGACACCACAGTTACCAGTTCCAGTCACTTCAGCTCCCCGTCTATTCTTTTTTTTAAATATATTTTTTAAAATATGTTTTTTATTAATTTCAGAGAGGTAGGGAGAGGGAGAGAGAGATAGAAACATCAATGATGAGAGAGAATCACTGATCAGCTGCTTCCTGCACACCCCCGGGCATGTACCCTTGACCAGAATCCAACCTGGGACCCTTCAGTCCACAGGCCGATGCTCTATCCACTGAGCCGAACCGGCTAGGGCCTGACCCTACTTATTTTCAGCAGAACTTTCTATCACGTGTGCTGATGCCGGGGTTTCTCCTGAAGCTGCCCCTTGCCTTCTCTTTCAGATGTTCATGCGAGCGCAGTTTGACTATGACCCCAAAAAGGACAACCTGATTCCTTGCAAGGAGGCGGGACTGAAGTTTACCACAGGGGACATTATCCAGATCATCAACAAGGACGACAGTAACTGGTGGCAAGGGCGCGTGGAAGGCTCTTCCAAGGAGTCAGCAGGCCTGATCCCGTCCCCTGAGCTGCAGGAATGGTGAGCCGCTTTCCCATGGGTGGCATTGGCAGGTGGCATGGGCCCGTACCTGTCACCAGTAGTGTTTTAGCTTCCCGAACCTGTCATCTTGCGTGTAGTTTCTCTTTCAACTAGGCCAATCTCCCAGCTTCCCTGACAGAATGAGTTGATAAGCTTACATAGCAGGACTTTTTTTTTTTTTAATATATTTTATTGATTTTTTTTTACAGAGAGGAAGGGAGAGAGATAGAGAGCTAGAAGCGTCGATGAGAGAGAAACATCGATCAGCTACCTCCTGCACATCCCCCAACTGGGGATGTGCCCACAACCAAGGTACATGCCCTTGACCGGAATGGAACCTGGGACCTTTCAGTCCTCAGACCGACGCTCTACCACTGAGCCAAACCGGTTTTGGCGCTAGCAGGACTTTTTAAAAATATATTTTTAAAGTATATTTTTATTGATTTTAGAGAGGAAGGGAGAGATGAAAACATCAGTGATGAGAGCCAATCGTCAATTGGCTGCCTCCTGCATGCCCCCTACTGGGGATGGAGCCCACAACCAGGCCACGTGCCCTGATGAGGAATCGAACCGTGACCTTCTGGTTCATAGGTTGACGCTCAACCACTGAGCTACACCGGCTGGGCTGGTGGGCCTTTAAAGGATCCCCGAATAGCTCTTCATTCATCCGAGGGCCTCTGTTTCCTCAAATGCTCTCCCTGTCCCTACAAGGAGGTGGCAGCACCGGGACTGCAGCTTCCCTGGTCTCCTGCCTCCCAGGCTGGTGCCTTCCTGAGCCCTGCAGGAAACAGTCACATTGTAAATACACGTCCTTTATGCAAATTGCCAGTGCACAGAAAATGGGGCGAGAGAGAAAAAAATGCCTGGCTGGTTTGGCTCAGTTGGTAGAGCGTCGTCAGCCTGTGAATTCTAGGGTCCCAGGTCAGGGATGTCCGACCGCCCGTTGAGGCCTGATCCTGGTCCCAGATTGGAGAGGGTGCAGGCTGGGCTGAGGGACACACACACACCCCTGCCATGCACGAATTTCATGCACCAGGCCTCTAGTAAAACTTTTTTTTTTTTAATTAAGAGAGGGGGAGAGAGAGAGAGAAAGAGAGAGAGAGAGAGAGAGAGAGAGAGAGAGAGAGAGAGAGAGAGAGAGAATGAGTGTTAGGGACTCAGAGAATGAGCAGCTTGGCAGAGGGTATGAGAGAGAAGGACAGGGTCAAGAGCGACATGAAGCGACATGGGCAAGTGCCGGGAAAGGAAGGAGGCAGGCCACTGGCCTCCGCTGATGTCCTGGTCATCTTTCCTGCCAGGAGGGTGGCGAGTATGGCTCAGTCTGCTCCCAGCGAAGCCCCAAGCTGCAGCCCCTTCGGGAAGAAGAAGAAGTACAAAGACAAGTACCTGGCCAAGCACAGCGCAAGTGAGTGTCCTTGAACTTCCTGGGCTCCTCTCTGCGGGCTCCTGGTACAGGGCAGGGGGCGTGGCGCTCAGGGCAACATACGTGATGCTGAAAGCATGTCATTTCTTCTGCTTTTTTTTTTTTCTAATCCTCACCCGAGGATTTTTTTTCCCCCCACTGATTTTCAGACAGAGTAGAAGGGAGAGAGGAGGCGGGGCAGGGAGAGAGAGAGAAACATTGATTGGTTGCCTCCTGAACAACCAGAGCTGAGGATCGAACCTACAACTGAGGTATGTGCCCTTGATCAGGAATTGAACTCACGACCTTTCGGTCCACAGGCTGTGCTCTAACCACTGAGCAAACAAGGCCAGGGCATCTTCTGCTTTTCTTACTATTTGTTTTTTTTTTTTTTTTTTTTTAATATATTTTTAATTGATTTCAGAGAGGAAGGGAGAGGGAGAGAGAGAGAAACATCAATGATGAGAGCGAATCATTGATTGGCTGCCTCCTTCATACCCCACTGGGGATGGAGCCTGCAACCCCAGGCATGTGCCCTGACCAGGAATCGAACCATGACCTCCTGGTTCATAGGTCGATGCTCAACCACTGAGCCACGCCGACCTGGCTCTTCTGCTTTTCTTTTATTACATTCATGTCCCCAGGTTCTCTGAGACGATGCCAGTATATACAGGGTGTCCCCCAAAAAAAACATAGACACACTTTCACAGCTGATAGCTCAATGTTGAGAATGAAATGCATTTTAACAAACACTGCCTTTTTAATGCTTCAGAGTGTGTTTATACATTTGGGGGGACACCCCATATAAAGGAAGGCCAGTGGCCTTTTCATACCAACTCATCACCCTCACCCCTCCGGTAAGCAGCTGAGCAGCCTTCCAGACCTTTCTCAGTGTGCCATTCCATCAGCATTCCCAGCTGGAAGGGCTGGACACCCCCAGAGCATGCTGTCTTCCCGAGATCTCATTCTGGCTTTGGTTTTCAACCTGCCATGGTTGGGAATATGATATACTAACATTATAAATGGATTTTCAGGAAAATTGTAGATAATCTAAACTAATAAAAGGGTAATATGCTAATTAGACTGGGAGACCTTCCAGACTTCCTTTCAGACAAAGCCACGGTGGCTGGGCTGAGGCAGAGATGGTTAGGGGTGAGCAGGCTGGCGGGGTAGGGAGGAGAGAGTTGGGGGCAAACAGGTTGGCAGGCGGCAGTTGGGGTGAGCAGGCAGGCAGGGGGGCAATTGGGGGCCATCAGGCTGGCATTCAGGGGCAGTGGGGATGATTAGGCCAATGGGGGAGGACAGTTGGGGGCGAGCAGACATGTAGGTGGGGCGGTTTGGGGCAATCAAGCTGGCAAGTGGGGGCAGTTGGGGGTGATCAGGCTGGCAGGGGGGGAAGTTTGGGGCAATTAGGCTGGCAGGTGAGGGCAGTTGGGGGTGATCAGGCCAGCAGGTGGAGGCATTTTGGGGCAATCAAGCTGGCAGGTGGGGGCAGTTGGGGGTGAGCAGGCCGGCGGGGCAGGGGGCAGGTGGGGGCAAGCAAGCCATCAGGCAGAGGGTTAGGGCTGATCAGGCAGGCAGGCAGGTGAGTGGTTAGGAGCCAGCAGTACCAGATTATGATAGGGATGTCCAACTGCTGGTTTAGACCCGATCTCATAGGGGTCCCAGATTGGAGAGAGTGCAGGCCGGGCTGAGGGACACTCCATCCCCTCTCCCCCTTGCACAAATTTCATGCACCGGGCCACTAGTAAATGAATAATAATATACCTCTTTTTTATTTTTTTAAATGGTATAGCCACTTCATTTTTATTTATTTTAAATTCTCACCTGAAGATATTTTTCCATTGATTTTTAGAGAGTGGCAGAGAGAGGGAAAGGCAGAGAGAAATATCAATGTGAAACTCATCGATTGGTTGCCTCCTGCATGCACCCCAACCAGGGCCCAGGTTGGGGAGGAGCCTGCAACTGAGGTATGTGTCCTTAATTAGAATCGAACCCTGGACCCTTCAATCCCCAGGACAATGCTCTATCCACTGAGCCAAACCGGCTAGGGCCATCAGGTCAAACTCAAAGGTTAGCACAGGCCAAATAACCAAGGTTGAAATGTGTGTAGGCCACAAAACAACAAAAGCTTCCATTCTCATAGAAACGTAGGTTTATTTCGATAGAGACATGCTGAATACAAAGGGTTGAAATACATGAGTCATCATTCACATAAAATAATAGATCATTTTATTTTTTTTTAAATATATTTTATTGATTTTGTACAGAGAGGAAGGGAGAGAGATAGAGAGTTAGAAACATCAATGAGACAGAGTCATCGATTAGCTGCCTCTTGCACACCCCCTACTGGAGATGTGCCAGCAACCAAGATACATGCCCTTGACCGGAATCGAACCCAGGACCTTTCAGTCCCCAAGCCGACGCTCTATCCATTGAGCCAAACCGGTCTCGGCAAAATAATAGATTATTTTAATGAAAATTAATATTTTTTCTTGAACATTAACTTACCAGACACTGAATAACTGCACAAATTAATAAGCGTCATGCAAATAAACCTATTTTTTTTTGTTCTCCAAAAGTGAAATATTTCCTGTTGCACACACCAAACAAGTCAGTACAAGACTAAAGACATGGCCATTGGCTGCTAAAATATTCACTGCTGGCTGGGACCGGTTTGGCTCAGTGGATAGAGCGTCAGCCTGCGGACTGAAAGGTCCCAGGTTCGATTCCAGGCAAGGGCATGTACCTTGGTTGCAGGCACATCCCCAGTGGGGGGTGTGTGGGAGGCAGCTGATCGATGACTCTCTCTCATCGATGTTTCTAACTCTCTATCCCTCTCTCTTCCTCTCTGTGAAAAATCAATAAAATATATCTTAAATAAATAAATAAATTAAATTAAATTAAATATCCACTGCTGGTATTAGTGGAAAGAAATGGTGCATCTGAGCATAAAGCTCGTAAGGGAAATGAATGCACCACGATTATAGTCATCAGTCATTAGCAAACGTTGTAGTTCCTTATTAATAATTACGTATAACAGGATATTGTAAAATTTAAGTTATGAAATTTTTATTAAAACGTTTCTTACATATTGTTATATTGGCTGGGCTGCAAAAATATTATAGTCCTTGCGGGCCACATGAGGCCCGCGGGCCGTGAGTTTGACATGCTTGGGCTAGGGCAATGACATAGCACTTATTGAACGCCTCCGTCCTGCTCTGGATAAAGACGGGAGCAGGAGAGTCACAGGCAGGGAAGTCGCTCTGGAAATGAACTTTGCCTGGTTTCCTTTGTCTCTAGTTTTTGACCAGTTGGATGTCATCTCCTACGAGGAAGTGGTTCGGCTCCCTGCGTTCAAAAGGAAGACCCTGGTGCTGATCGGTACCTTCTCCTTGCCCCTCCTGTTGCTTTGCTCGTTAAGGACCTCTCTGTCCTTGTTTTCCTGCCTGTGGTATACAATCCTTCCAACAAAAAAGAAGACAGTGAGGAAAAGAAGAAAAGAACAGAAGGGAAGTCTCTCGGGTTCTCCATATAAGGACAGACATAAAGACTTTTCTCTAAGTTCTTACCTTACTGGGTTCACCTTACAAGTGAAGCTAAACTTTACAGGTTTTCCTGCCACTAATTCTTTCTTAAAATGTGTTTTTATTGATTATTAGAGAGACAGGAAGAGAGAGGGATAGAGAGAGAGAGAAACATATGTGAGATATCGATCACCTGCCTCCTGCACTCCTCACACTGGGGATCAAGCCCGCAACCCCGGGCATGTGCCCTGACCGGGAATTGAACCAGTGACCTCCTGGTTCATGGGTTGATGCGCAACAACTGAGCCACACCAGCTGGGCTGCAACTAATTCTATTAGATAGGGTTTGGGGTTGGCCAGTCCTAGCCCGAGTTTTGCTCTTTGTTCATCTGACTGTAGGGGTGTTCCAGTCCTGAGCCTTTTTTTGTTTGTTTGTTAATCCTCATCCGAGATTATTTTTTCCATTGATTCTTTTTTTAAAAAATATATTTTATTAATTTTGTAAAGAGAGGAAGGGAGAGAGATAGAAAGCCAGAAACATCGATGAGAGTCATCGATCAGCTGCCTCTTGCACACCCCCTACTGGGGATATGCCCGCAACTAAGGTACATGCCCTTGACCGGAATCGAACCCGGTCCCTTCAGTCCCCAAGCCGACGCTCTATCCATTGAGCCAAACCGGTCTCAGCTCCATTGATTCTTTAAAAAATATATTTTTTATTGTTTTCAGAGAGGAAAGAAGAGGGGGAGAGAGAAAGAAACATCAATGATAAGAGAGAATCATGGATCAGCTGCCTCCTGCATGCCCCCTACTGGGGATCAAGCCCACAACCTGGGCTTGTGCCCTTGGCCGGAATTGAACCCCGGACCCTTCAGTCCACAGGCCAATGCTCTATCCACTGAGCCTAAACTGGCTAGGGCTCAATTGATTTTTTTAGAGAGAGTGGAAGCAGGGGATGAGTTGGAAGGAGGCAGGGGGAGAGAGAGCAACATCAATGTGAGAGAGACACATCCATCAATTGGCTGCCTCCCACACTCCAACTGGGGCCAAGAATGGATCCTGCAACCCAGGCACATGCCTCTGACTGGGAATCGAACCCACAGCCCTTTGGTCCAAGGGCTGACACTCTAATCACTGAGCCAAACCAGCAAGGGCAGTCCTGTGCTTTTTTCAAAGTATACGTGTTAGAGTGCTTCGTTAGTAACATAAGCTCTATAAGCTCTTTAGTCATCCACATGAGCTCTGGCCTTGAGATGAAATGAGTCTTTGCTCCAAACCCAGGTATGTGGACCTTGGGTCTGGTGGGTGATTCATCAGAATTAAATATTAGTTGGTTAGAAGATCTATCTGTATTAGGTTTCGGTGAAATTTCCAGTGAAGACACCAGCTTCAATCCAACACTATTCATTGGGAGAGCTCAGTACGCTATCCTTAGAAAACAGAAACCCCCGTATGTCAGCTGGCTCCTCTGTGGAAGGAACAGTTATGGTCTGAGTCCAGGCCCTCAGCCTTAGAAAGAGTCTACTTCCCCAACTGGGACACAAGGGCCTGGAGCCTCAAATCCCCCTGCACCTAAAGCAGAGATGGGGAACCTTTTTTCTGCAAAGGGCCATTTGGATATTTATGACATCACTAGAGGCCCGATGCATGACATTCGTGCACTCGTGTGTGGGAGGGGGGGCCCTCAGCCCAGCCTGCACCCTCTCGCAGTCTGGTACCCCTCAGGACCCCTTCTGGCTGAGCGGCACTTCCCCTGTGGGAGCGCACTGACCACCAGGGGGCAGCTCCTGCATTGAGCGTCTGCCCCCTAGTGGCCAGTGCACGTCATAGCGATTCCACCTTTTGGTCAATTTGCATATTAGGGTTTTATTTTATTTTTTTAATATATTTTAAAATATATAGCCCCCTACTGGGGATAGGCCCACAACCAAAATATATAGGGTTTTTTTAAAAATATATTTTAAAATATATAGCCCCCTACTGAGGATATGCCCGCAACCAAAATATATAGCATAGCCCCCTACTGGGGATGTGCCCGCAACCAATGTACATGCCCTTGACCAGAATCGAATCCGGGACCTTTCAGTCCGCAGGCCGACGCTCTATCCACTGAGCCAAACCAGTTTCAGCATATATTAGGGTTTTATTATATAGGATTTGCAGGCGATACAAAATTATCTACTTAAAAATTAGGCTGCTATATTTTATCAAACATTTCATTAACTCACCCCTAATGCTTGGCAGGGCCAGACCAAATGATTTCACGGATCTAATATGGCCCGAGGGCTGGAGGTTCCCCACCCCTGTGCTCAAGGAACGCTTGCCTCTGACCCCAGCTCAGAGGCTATGCCAACTTCCTTTCACCTGCTGGCGATTGCAGGCCTGGGAGAGGAAAGCCATGTCCTATTCCTACTACCATCCCCTCCTTTCTCTCTGGGGAAAGACACGGAAGGCTTCCTGAAAATCAGCAACGTGGATTCTCTCTCCTCTTCCGCAGGAGCCAGTGGGGTAGGTCGCAGCCATATTAAGAACGCCCTGCTCAGCCAGAACCCGGAGAAGTTTGAGTACCCAGCCCCGTGTAAGTAGCTCTGGGGGCTCGGAGGGCAAGTAAGAGCACTCTCCCATCCGAGAGACGGTGATGATCCTTTTTTGGTGATTTTATTTGAAATGTTTCATCATAAAAACAAAACACAATTTAGGCAAGATACAGATTTGTACCCATAATCGTTCCAACTAACAATGTAACTGTGTGTTTTGGTTTTGTTTTAAATATATTTTATTGATTTTTTACAGAGAGGAAGAGAGAGGGATAGAAACATCGATGAGAGAGAAACATCGACCAGCTGCCTCTTGCACACTCCCTACAGGGGATGTGCCCGCAACCAATGTACATGCCCTTGACTGGAGTCGAATCTGGGACCTTTCAGTCCGCAGGCTGACGCTCTATCCACTGAGCCAACCCGGTTTCGGCTTTCTTTTCTTTTTTAATGTGTTTTCATTGCTTTCAGAGAGAGGAAGGGAGAGGGAGAGAGAGAGAGAAACATCGATGATGCGAACGAATCATGGATCGGCTGCCTCCTGCACATCCCACCCTGGGAATCGAGCCCTCAACCCAGGCCTGTGCCCTGACCGGGAATCGAACCGTGACCTCCTGGTTCCTAGGTTGATGCTCAACCACTGAGCCACACTGGCCGGGCTGATAGGAATTTTTTTTATGTTGGGCTTCACCTCCTGAAGGTTAAACGTGTTCTGGGTGGGTAGGGGATTTCCTGATCCGCATCATCTCCTATGGCCAGCCCTTAAGGATCCCGTGGGAGAAAACCACCTACTAAGCTCTGCGCCACAGGCAGCGAGGGTTTCGGTCCAGACGCCATGGTCTGTGGCGAGGACCCCGAGTGTGTCAGGGGCCGGGGCTTCTTGTGCGCAGATACCACACGGCCGCCCAAGAAGAACGAGGAGGATGGGAAGGAGTACCACTTCATCTCCACGGAGGAGATGAGCAGGAGCATCTCTGCCAACGAGTTCTTGGAGTTCGGCAGCTACCAGGGCAACATGTTCGGCACCAAGTTTGAAACGGTGCACCGGATCCACGAGCAGAACAAGATCGCCATCCTGGACATTGAGCCGCAGGTGGGTCGGCACCGAAAGGCAGGCGCGAGGGCATGGGGGACGCTGAAGAGCAATGCTGATGGACATGTCTGGGGAGCTCAGAGGTGCTTCAGATACTCCCAGCGGGGTCATCAGGAAGAACAGGAGGACAGGAAGTGATAGAAATAGGACTGGGCGTGGTGATGCCCAGAGATGCTTACTGGAAGGAATGCATGGGGACAGCTGACTACGTTTTAAAATCTTTTCTTCCTTCCCCTTCCTCTTTTCTAGACTCTCAAGATTGTCCGGACAGCAGAACTGTCACCTTTCATTGTGTTTATCGCACCCACTGACCAGGGCACTCAGGTGGGAAGGACGGGGTAGTACAGGGTGGAGAGGGGTTAACTCTCTTTATTTATTTGTTTGTTTGTTTGTTTGTTTTTAATATATTTTTATTGATTTTTTACAGAGAGGAAGGAAGAGAGATAGAGAGCTAGAAATGTCGATGAGAGATCAAAACCGACCAGCTGCCTCTTGCACACCCCCTAACGGGGATGTGCCCGCAACCAACGTACATTCCCTTGACCGGAATCAAACTCGGGACTTTTCAGTCCGCAGGCTGCTCTATCCACTGAGCCAAACCGGTTTCGGCTCTCTTTTTTTTTTTTTTTTTTTTTTTTTTTTTTTTAAATATATGTTTATATCATAGAGGAGGGGAGAGGGAGAGGGACATAGAAACATTAATGATGAGAGACAATAATTGATCAGATGCCTCCTGCACGCCCCCTTCCCGGGCATGTGCCCTGACAGGGAATCAAACCGTGACCTCCTGGTTCATAGGTCAACCCAGGACCTTCCAGTCCGCAGGCCAACGCTCTATCCTCTGAGCCACACCGGTTTTGGCCATGTCAGATTCTTGAGGGCCATTTGTATTGCCTTTTATATATACACTGAGTGGCCAGATTATGATCTCTGAATGCATAATAATCTGGCCACTCAGTGTGTGTTTATATATATATATCCCTAACCTCTAACCCCCAGCATAGCTCCCCAAAATGAATACCATATATTCACCTGGTGCCTGAATTTGTGCACGGGTAGTATCTGACCAGCCTGTCCAGGGTGAGGGGACATGGGCAGTTGGCCAGCCTGCCTGCTGGTCGAACTCCTGGTCGAGGGGACAATTTGCATATTAGCCTTTTATTCTACAGGATATACACTGAGTGGCCAGATTATTATGCGTTCAGAGATCACAATGTATATGTAGTTTTTATTTCAGAGAGGTAGAGAGAGGGGAGGGAGATGGGAAAACAAGGTAGGGCCATTTGTATTATCTTTTTAAAAATATGTTTTTATCGCCGAGATCGGTTTGGCTCAATGGATAGAGCGTCGGCTTGGGGACTGAAGGGTCCCGGGTTCGATTCCGGTCAAGGGCATGTACCTTGGTTGCGGGCATATCCCCAGTGGGGGGTGTGCAGGAGGCAGCTGATCGATGACTCTCTCTCATCGATGTTTCTGGCTTTCTATCTCTCTCCCTTTCTCTCTGTACAAAATCAATAAAATATATATTTTTAAAAAATATGTTTTTATTGATTTCAGAGAGAGGGAGAGGGAGAGATAGAAACATTAATGATGAGAGAATCATCAGTCTGCCACCTCCTGCACGCCTTCTACTGGGGATTAAGCCCACAACCGGGGCATGTGCCCTGGTGGCGGAATGGAACCGTGACCTACTGGTTCATAGGTTGATGCTCATAGGCCAGCTGGGCTGTATTGTCTTTTCTGTTAAGACCTGGTCATGTCCTTAGCGTATTGTTCTGTTGGGTTATCGGCCTTTCTCTTAGTGATTTCTAGGAACTCTATATTAGGGTCATTAGCCCTTCGTGATATCAGTTGCAATTCCCCCCCCCCCCCCCCAATTTGGCATGCCTCTTGGTGTTTATCGCTACAGAACCCTTTTTACTTGTACAAAGTTAAATTATCTATCTTCACGGCCACTTGGTTCTGGGGCCTAGGAAGAGGGCCAGGGTTCTAAGTTGCAGTTATCCTTGTCCTGGGATTGCAGCTCTGGTGGTTGTGGAAATGGCTGTCCATGTTCAAGGGCAAGAGCTGGGAGATAGCTATCGGTCTTCCAGAGAGCTCTGATTAGCTTGAGAGTCTGAGAATTATTCATAATTGATTGCCTCTCTTCCAACATTCTCTTTGTTCCCTTCCAACATTCTCAAAGTCTTCAGGGTTTGTCTCCAAGCAGGTGACTGAAAGCTAGGCAACGGTCACAACAGTCAACACCCGCTTAAAAGCTGTCACTAGCCCCACCAGCATGGCTCAGTGGTTAAGCGTCGACCAATGAACCAGGAGGTCACCGGTTCGAGTCCCGGTCCGGGCACATGCCTGGGTGTGCAGGAGGCAATCAATCAGTGATTCTCATCAGTGGCTGCTTCTCTCTCCTTTGCAGACGGAAGCCCTGCAGCAGCTGCAGAAGGACTCGGAGGCCATCCGCAGCCAGTACGCTCACTACTTTGACCTCTCCCTGGTCAACAATGGCGTGGATGAAATCCTTAAGAAACTGCAAGAAGCCTTCGACCAAGCGTGCCGATCTCCACAGTGGGTGCCGGTCTCCTGGGTTTACTAAGCTTGCAGAAATGGGGCTCCCGTATACTCTGCTCAGTATCTGGAACTCCACTCCCCTCGCTTTAAGACAAACAGGGTCGCTCCAGCTAGTTTTTGTGTCCGCTTCCAGCTCTATGCAAGTCTCCTAATTAGGCCAGTGGGTGGCAGTCTTACTCCAACTCCTCAAGGGCTCGGCTCCGGTTTTCCTGCTGCATGGGGGCCCCATTGATTTTTCCAAAGAAATCTCTGGAAATCGGGGCAGAGAAGCACGACCCAAATGCAAATGCTAATCCAAGACGGTGCTCACTGCGAGAAAAAGCCTGGCCCCTGGCCCTCTGAAGCCTGCACTCCTCCACCTGTAATCAGTCTTTCCTCTGAAGAAAGCCTTTTTTTTTACTGCCTTTCTAAAACGCCAAAATGCAACAGCTGTGCAATAGGATGTCTGCTCTAGGAAAACCCTCAAAAGCAATAAAGAGATTACTGTGAAAATGCCAGTGACCTTGGAACTCTCTGGGTGTTTACTGGTACCCCAAGCCTCTGACTAGAGAGAAATGCCACCTGCTTTAAGCTCCTGGAGCAGTGATTCTCAACCTCCCTAATTTTGCTAGTTATGAACCACAACGTAGATATCTGTGTTTTCTGATGGTCTTAGGCTCTACGGCAGCGACCCACAGGTTGAGAACCATTAGCTGGGTCTAAGACCATCAGAAAACCAGATATTTACATTACGATTTATTAACAGCAAAATTACAGCTATGAAGTAGCAACGAATATAATGTTATGGTTGGGGGTCACCACAACATGAGGAACTGTCTTAAAGGGTTGTGGCATTAGGAAGATTGAGAACCACTGTCCTGCAGGATAACATTGCCACCAGATGCCTCCCTCAAGTGTTGAGCAATCTTTTTTTAAAAAATATATTTTTATCGATTTTGGAGAGAGGGAGATAGAAACAGCAATGACAAGCCCTTAACTAGTTTGGTTCAGTGAATAGAGCATCAGCCTGTAGACTGAATAAGGGTCCTGCGTTCTATTCTGGTCAAGGGGATGTACCTTGCCTTCCTCTCTGTAAAAATCAATAAAATAATCATCGATCAGCTGCCTCCTGCAGACTAGGGATAGAGCCCTTAACCCAGGCATGCGCCCTGACCAGGAATCGAGCTTCCTGGTTCATAGGTCAACACTCAACCACTAAGCCACCTGAAAAATCTTAAGGGTCAGAGTTATCCTATCTCTTATTTGGGGGGTAGGGTGCGCATGCACTGGGCAGGGCACAAATTGGTGCATTGAGGCAGGTATGTATACATGTACACGTGCAACATATAAAAAGCACTGAGAGCATTGGTGTAAGACTGTCCAGTTTTGCTCCATGGGGAGATAAAGCAAACATTTTTGCTTCTGCTTGCACCGGCCTTGGTTATTTCTACTAAATCTTACCATTTTCCCCAAGTCACTCATTTTCTTTTGTTTTTCATTTTTATTAATTTTATTGATCATGGTATCACATAATTGTCCTCACCCCCCCATTCCCATCCCAAACCCCTCCCCACATATGCCCCCACCCCCCTGTTGTCCATGGCCACTGGCTAGGCCCATATGCATGCACACAAGTCCTTTGGTTGACCTCTCCCCTTTACCCCCACCCTCCCCTAGTCACTCATTTTCTTTCTCTTTATTCAAAGACATGGCTTTATTTAAAAACATATTTGTATTGATTTCAGAAAGGGAAAGGAAGAAACATCAACGATGAGAAACATTTGATTGCCTGCCTCCTGCATGCCCCCTACTGGGGATCAAGCTCACAACCTGGGCACATGAGCCAAACTGGTTCAGCCATAAGACATGGTTTTAGAGCACTCACATGACTGGCTGCCCAGGTTAAACTCTCAAGAGCTGAAATGAGCAACTATGAGGATTACACACACATACCCTGGAAACCCCCAACACTGTCCCAAGGATAGTGTCCACATAAGTCTTCACCCCGAACCCATCCCTGGCAGGCATTTAACTTCCTAATACTGTGGTCACTCCAGGGAGGGGGGGGACCCAGATAGGGGGTTAGTAGGGGGTCCTTGCTGCATCTGGAGACTGCTCCCCATATTAGTTTCATGGGTTTTTGTACCAGATTGTAAACAATCCTAGAACTCACCAAGCCCTTGATTCCTAAACACTCACCCATCACTCCCTCCCCAGGTTTTTGCCACTCACTGGCCCCCATCCAACTGAGTTGGAGCACTAAGTGTTTAGGTACTTAAAGGCCTGTCAAGATCTGGCTCTTTGCCAGGCCCCCGTGGCTCTGTGGTTGATCGTCAACCTGTTAAGCCAGGAGGTCACAACTCCAATTCCGGTCAGGTCAAAGGCCCAGGCTGCAGGCTCACTCCTGTGCGGGGTGGACAGGAGGCAGCCGATCAAGGATTCTCATGTATGTTTCTCTCTCCCCCGCTCCCGCTCTGAAATAAAATTAAAATGTTTTAAAAATCTGGCCCTTAAAAAAAAAAAATCTGGCCCTTTCATGCTTCCTCGGGCTTTTCCCAGGCACCCCACCACCACCACCGCCCATACAGGGACACGCACACCTTCTGCCAGACACGTCACATAATTAGCATCACATTTCAAGTCTGACACAAAGGCCCACGATTTTTAATCAAAGTACTTTACATTGTTTTTTTGTTCTAGTTTGAGACCATCATCGATTAGAAAATCCAACAGGAATAGTTTTAAAAAAAACAAAACATAGTAAGCAAACTTTAATAAAAATTACAACCACCTTTTCCCAGCAAGGACTGATTGCATCCTTTGAAAGAAAGAGGGTAGGAACAAGAGGATACAGTTTGGGTTTTGTCAGGAACACAGGCGGTCAGATGGACTGAGGTACATGAGACTGTACGCAAGCTGGAGTATGTGCGCCCACTGCCAGGCCAGCGGGACAGGAACAGCTGGAAAGGCGGAGACCTGGACTCCTTGCCGGCCATGGCCTGGGAGACACATGGAATAACAAAGGTGGCGCTGACACCAGCCTAGCCCACTGTCCTTGTCACACACTGGAGATTCACCCCAGCAAACATGGTTGTCCTATTCTTTTATTTCCTCTATACCGTTTCCCTGTGCAATTATCATCGACTTTTTTTTTTTTTTTTTAACAGAAGGGCATGGGGGAATGGCAGAAGCAGATGAGTAGAGGATGGAGTTGGAACAGCTGTCGGGCAACAGCTGTGCTGGTTACCAGGCAGTGCAGGGTCCGAAGGCGGGGCTTCCCCACTCCCCCAAGGAGAGAAGTGGGGGGTATCCAATCTGCCTCCTGCACCCGTATCCTTAAAACAGGACAAGATGGGATGACCACACCGGGTAACGTCACTCAGGTTTCGTCACTCAGGTCTCGGCTAGCTGCTAAAACGTGCCCAGCTCTCACCCTTGGAGAACCAAAGGAGCTATGTTTTCTCAGTAAGGCTTTCATTCCTCCTCCCGGCTGGGCATGGCGCCTAAGGTGATCGCCACTAGTCAGAAACCACTTCCACTTTGATTTTCTTTTTCTTCTTCTTCTTTTTGGTGGCATCACTGTCCTGGGGGGGGGAGGGGGGGGGAGAGAGAGAGAGAGAGAGAGAGAGAGAGAGAGCGAGCTCTCAGAACCTGTTAACAGAACCACTGCCGCTTTCCCAAAAGGAAATAAATCGGGGAAGCTCCACAGGCAACGTAACAAAGCCCTGAGCTTGCCAAAACCCGTTTGGTTCAGTGGATAGAGCGTCGGCCTGAGGACTGAAAGGTCCCGGGTTCGATTCCGGTCAAGGGCAGGTACCTTGGTTGCGGGCACATCCCCAGTGGGGGGTGTGCAGGAGGCAACTAATCGATGATTCTCTCTCATCGATGTTTCTAACTCTCTATCCTCCTCCCTTGCTCTGTAAAAAATCAATAAAATATATTTTTTAAAAATAAAAAACCAAAGCCCTGAGCTTGTCAGCAGCGCCCCGGTGGCTCACTTTTACAAACAAGAGCATTCTGAGTCTAAAGCTACACGCCGTACCATCTGCCACCCACGGAATTCTAACTATGAGCTGTTACTATACAATGCCAGGGCCTGCCCAACCAGAGTGGCTCAGGGTTGAACGCTGACCTGTGAACCAGGAGGTCACGGTTCAATTCCCGGTCAGGGCACATGCCTTGGTTGTGGGCTCCATCCCCAGTGGGGGTTGCCGGAGGCAGCCAATCGATGATTCTCGCTCATCGATGTTTTTCTCTCTCTCCCTCCCTCTCTGAAATCAATAAAACTGTATTAAAAATAAAAATGCCAGGGCCTGTCTATGTATTATACATCCTGCAGGACAGTGGGTATAAAAGGCACTCCAGTAATACGGCTCAGCTCCCCAGTTGGCCAAACTGGCGCCAATTGGGCAATTCAAACCACCCCGCGCCTGAGGACTAAGCATGTCTATACGCACCCCATCTGCCTGCTCGCCCGCATCCTCCGCGGCGGCCTTGGCCTTCTTCTCCTTCTTCTTCTTCTTTTTCTTCTCCTTTTCCTTCTCCTCCTTGACTGGCTCCGGGGACTCTGGCTCTGGCGAGGTCTCGTCGCTCTCACTCTCTCGACTCCGCTGAGGAGACAATGGAGCAAATGTTAGATCTCAGGCTAAAACGGATGGGAGAGGTTCAGGAAGTGAATAGGTAAGAAAAGTCCCTTCCTGGGCACAAAGGAGGGTCCTTAAAGATTCAGAGCCGGTCTCATCCACAAAGAGCAGGAAGCAGTTTTCCTGGAGGCCAGCCTCTCTAGGATCACAAGCTGGACTCTATGTCCCCTAGGGGCCCCCTGAGTCCTCCAAGGGTGGCATTGCTCCTGCCGAGTCCCGTATAGCTCCACGTGTTACGGCCTCCGATTTCAACACACACGTGCCATCACTTGACCCAGGGTGGGGGCCAGAGTAACACGCACCCCCCACCCACCACTAGTTTCAGTGCTGCCTAAGCTGAGGTGGAAGATGAGGCCAGTCTGATCCCCGAACCCCCATGTCTCCCGGAAGACACAACAGGGAGGTGGTGACCTGGCACCTGCAGAGCCCCCTGCAGGTAAGTAACCTGGGGCACAACACGTCATCTGTGCACCATGCACATATGAGGCGGAAGGCCCTGTCGGGCTGAGCCAGGATGTATGGCCGGCCTGCAGTCACCAGGATAAGCCACACAGAACCACTGCCCGCGGTGCATTCCAAACTAACCGCCACGTGCCCCGTACCTTAATCGGAGCCTTTATCGGTGTAGCAACCGCCTCTGTCTTCACAGCATCGCTGAAAGGAGAGGGAGCCGTCGGGTTAGACTGGATGAGCAGCGTCTGGGGAGGGACTGCTTCCCCCGCAGCCAGTCACAGGTATCTGGCAAGTCTAACGCCACCATCAAAACACTGACGCTGGACAAGGCAACTCACCACTTACTGTCGCAGATGGACGCCCTCTGAAGTCCCACGTGCCAGACTAGAAAGGGTTAACTGTCTGCTGCAAAGCAACCTCCTTGCCCTACGGCCAAGGCCACATGAAGGGCCGCACGGGATCCTTTGGTCCCACGTCTACCACCCTTCCCCCAAGCCTGCCCCCTCCCCACAGCGTGTAGTTGATGTGCCTGTCCAGGTGGCCAGCATGCTGCATCCACCCCTCCGGGTTCCGTATCCTCCTGACCCACTGCTGCTGCCATCACAGTTGATGCACTCTAGCACGCAAATGCAGGCAAGCGTGCGTCTGCATGCCCTGGGTGTCCACAGCGTCCTGCTCTCACCTGTAGTCAACGTACTCCTGTGTCCAGGCGGCGGGCGTACTGGCTGTGGCCTTGCCGTGCTTGTCCAGAAGGCCCTGCTTGATCATCTGCTTCTTCTGACTGGCCTGCGGGACGTTAGGAATCCAACGTCAGGACGGCGTCAGCACAGATAGCAGGCTGACTGCATGCACCCGGCCCAAATCAGGTTTCTCCCTTGTGTATTCTCACCTGGGCCAGAAGCTCCTATATACGGCACTCAGAATTCCCCCATTCTTGCCCTGGCCAGTGTTTCCAATGGTTAGAGCATCGGCCCATGCACCAAGAAGTCTGACATTTTATTCCCAGTCAAGGGCACGTACCTGGGTTGCAGGTTTGAGACCCTAGCCATGGTTAGGGTGCGTGTGGGAGACAATCAATTAATGTTTCTCCCTCCTCCACTCTCCTCCCTACAAATCTCTAAATAGCCTCAGGTGAGGATTAAGAAAAGCCAAACAAACAAACAATAACAAAAACCCACCCATTCTCTTTGATCGAAACCAGCCTGGGACTTGGTAAAGGTGACGAGGCTTACTGCCTTAGTGAGAGCCTCTGCAGTGCCATTTGTGGCGCAGGGCCTTTGCACATACTATTCCAGCTGCCTGGACTTTCCCCAGCTCATACCATCTAATCCTTCCCGCTGGCAGGGCTCAAGTGACCCTCCCTCCCCCAGATCCCCTCACTGCAGACTCTTGAGGTGCCAGGCACCCCTGCACTCCTTGAGAAACCCTCACCTCGGCTAAAATCCACCATTCTAGCCGAGTGATGCCCATTTGCTTTCTCCCATCAGACTGAAATCTCGACTGGTCCAACTTACCTTTGGACCCAAACCCCACTTGCGAGGGTAAGTGTCTCTTTCCATGATCACTCTCTTGATCTTGGCTACAATCCCATGGTCGCAGGTAGAGATCACTGCTGTGGTCATTAACGCAATAGCTGCAGGTGTCGAAGAGATAAAAGAATGTGTTAAGCCCAGCCAGTGTGGCTCAGTGGAACCAGGAGGTCTCAGTTCGATTCTGGTCAGGCACATGCCCCCGTTGTGGGCTTGACCCCCAGGAGGGGGCGTGCAGGACACAGCTGATCAATGATTTTTTTTCTCATCATCGATGTTTTTTTCTTTGTTTTAAAATATATTTTATTGATTTTTCACAGAGAGGAAGAGAGAGGGAGAGAGAGTTAGAAACATCGTGTGCCTGCAACCAAGGCACATGCCCTTGACCGGAATCGAACCCGGGACCTTTTAGTCCGCAGGCTGACGCTCTATCCACTGAGCCAAACCGGTCCCGGCCATCATCGATGTTTCTATCTCTTTCACCCTCTCCCATCCTCTCTGAACTCAATACACACACACAGAATGATTTAAAGGGGCAAGACACAATAATTGCTAAGCCCGAATTCCACTGTTTTATATGGCTTTTTAAAAGCCTTACTGCCTTGAGGTTCCTTCGCTGAAGATGGACATATAGACAGGAAGTAAATAAAGGCTCTTCAGTGATAACCAGACAATCATTCCCATTCTTCTGGATGTCCTCTCTTCTCATTAGAGAACCACGCTGCTGAGACATGAAACAAACCCCTTCTACCTCCTCCTCGCCCGTGCCTGTCTGACATGGCCCTTTGCTGGGACCCCAACTGCAGACCCTTGGCAATTCAGTGACATCAAACCGAGGGACCAGGATTGGGGGACCTGCTCTTCGGGCGCCTGGCTCGGATGGTGCAGGAGGGAGAGCGACCCCTTACCTATGCAGATGGCTTCCCCTTTGGTGGTGATGACCACGATCTCCTGGTTGACCTCAATGCCGTCCTCATATCGCAGCACACCCGGAAGCATGATCTTCGCCCCATAGCAGATGGCGTTCACCTGCAAGGATGGCATCAACCCTGAGCACCGCAGCCACTGTTTTTACCCCACACCAGAGATGAAGGGGAGGGGCCTTGGGCATCGCCCCACATGAGAAACGGGGCCAAGGATAGCCAATGGCTGCAATGAGCATGGGAAGGGACTCTGAGTAACAACCACACACTAGGACTTTAAATAGCAACTCCTCTGTCTGTGGAACTTAGGATGTTTTCATTCTAAATCAATGCCTAGCCTTAGTTTCCCTTATTGCTCTTCTGTTCCTTAATGAGAGAAAACTTTAACAGAACTAGGAGACCTATCAGATCTACTTGGGAGATTTGGATAGTGGTCAGAGCATTGGTTCCCAAAGGAACTGGCTAGCAAGATTACCAAGACCTATTGAACCACCTACCATGTTTCCCCAAAAATAAGGCATCCCCTGAAAATAAGCCCCCCCCCCCCCCCAAGGCTCTGTCTCAGAATGCTATTGCTAAACATGAGAGATTTGGTCCACTGATTCTGAAAGAAATGGAGTCACAAGAAATTCACCAGGAAATTCAGGAATTGGATTGTTCTGATGATGTTCCAGAAGATGATGACATGATTGTTATTGAATAAATGAGTAAATTCTTGTTACTGTAGGATTCACAGTTTGTCTGGTTTGTGTTGACCGGGAACTACCGTACTGCCATACCGTATACAGGTAATAAATTTCCTTTATTTTCATTTAACAATAAATGTGTACTGTATTCTTCTTCATGGAAAAATAAGACATCCCCTGAAAATAAGACCTAGCGCATCTTTGGGAGCAAAAATTAATATAAGACACTGTCTTATTTTCGGGGAAACAGGGTACCTACAGGTTTGGGCATAACTTATAGGCCAACAGGTATGTGTTAAGGCCACCTCTCCCTGAGTTCAAAGGCACTTAATGCATCCCGCTCCACCTGCCTTGTCCTAGCTAGATCTCTTCTGTTGATGCCCATGGGTTCGATTCCCGGTCAAGGGTACAGATCTCAGTTACAAACTTGATCTCTGGCCCCAGTCAGGGCGCATGCAGGAGGCAACCAATTGATGTGTCCCTCTCACATCAACATTTCTTTCTCCCCATTCTTCCTCCCCACCACTCTCAAAGAAAAAAAAAAAATCAATGGAAAAAATATCAAGTGATAATCTTTTTAAAAAAATTCTATATAACAGGATTTGAATATGAATGATAAACCTCAAATGATTCCATACAGAAATTTATATTCTTCAAAGTCAGAGAATCTTTTTGTTGCTACATAATGTTAGACAAAGACAACCTTAATTTATAAAAGGCTCTTCTCTGACCATCAGAAATAAAAAGGCTATTTTTAAAATTCTGGACTACTTGGAAGAGAAGTAACTTATCTTTGAAGCTCTATAGTCTCAACTTTTTATCCCCATCAAAAAAACCTTTTCTTGCAGCAATTTAAATACGATCTGTTTATTACACATGTAGAACTACCAGGTTATGGAAAGCAAATTCCATGGACCACAGATAGTCTTTCTTGAAGCAAGTTACTTTGGGAAAACGCTTAGGTAAATGTTTAACTAAGTTGCCTTACTTAAAAGTAGAATTAGACCTAGCATTAAACTTTTACTTTAATTGAGTATATTTGGTTCTGATTTAATTAAAAGTTAATCATAAATGCTTCATAAAAAAAAGGGGGGGGAGCCGAAACCAGTGGATAGAGCATCGGCCTGCAGACTGAAAGGTCCCAGGTTCGATTCCGGTCAAGGGCATGTACCTTGGTTGCGGGCACATTCCCAGTAGGGGGTGTGCAGGAGGCAGCTGATCGATGATTCTCTCTCATTGATGTTTCTAACTCTCTATCCCCCTCTCTTCCTCTCTGTAAAAAAAAATCAATAAAATATATATTTTTTAAAAAAAGGAAAAAGAACCCAGTGTACAATCTACAAAACAAAAAGCAGAAACCCCAAGGAATTTGAGTTGACGTCATGTTTCACCTCTTTAAAAAGTTGTCAGAACACGGACATCTCAGCTGTGAAGTCACGCTCTGTCCGAACGTGGACTTGACACCCAGAACTTACTGCGCTGTCTTTCATAACCAGCCGTTTATGAGACGTCAGCAGCTTTTCCAGAGGGTAGACCACTCGCCGCAGGTAACTCTCGTCCTTGTGGTTATCATACAGCCACTGGGCGTCCAGCACGTCGTGCATTGTCACCATGTGGTCCTGGAAGAGCAGCCACGTGTGAAAATTGTTCACTGTCATTGGCTCTCTAATAGCACAACAGACGCCAAACTTCGGAAGGAACAGTATTCTGCTAATCCAAGCTCATTAGTCTTCGGTCCCCTTTAACCTGCTGATGTATTTCCACCTGAGCAAGCATTTTTGTAGGCCGGGAGGTAAGTGAATAGAACAATGTTTTCTATCCGGTCATCTCCCCTGGCCCGTGTTTCAATGTCCCAAAGTTTAATTAACAGAACAGGGAAATTACCCTGGACTGAACTCAACACTTTGGAAATTGCCTTTCCTGGCGTTCCACCAGGAGCTAGAATATACAGGGTGGGACAAAAGTTGGTTTACAGTTGTGTGGGAAATAGTACAGTAATCACTAAATAATAAACTGTTTCTTGTGCCCACAACTGTAGACCTACTTATGCCCTGCCCTGTATCAAGTACCAGCTCTAAAACTGCTAGGCCCGTGACAGCGTGTACCTTCTCGCTCATGACTCCGGAACGAATCCGCCGAAGTTCCTGCATCTGACCGCCAACTCCCAGCAACAAACCAAGGTGCACGCACAGCGTCCGAATGTAGGTGCCGGCCTCACAGCTCACCCAAAAGATTCCTAAGGTACACACACACAGAAATAACCCACATCTTCCAGAATAAACCTGCCACCAGTTGAGAAACCCCAAGTTATTCTCCATCTGGGCCAGAGGCTGATGATGACAGACACAGGCCGTGACGGCGCCATATACTAAAGGACATCTACTCTGAACAACAGAGTATAATTCGCAAGAACCCATTTCCACCCATGCGTGCCCGGCCTATTAACTGAGCTCCTCAGGCCTAGTGACCCACCTAATCTTCTTTCGGGATCATACTCGACCATCTTGCTCTCGTAGATGGTCCGCACTCGGAGTTGCCTCTTCACTGCAGCGATAAGTGGGGGGCGCTGGAATAAGGCGCCGGTCAGAGTTTCTAGGGCCTGCGGAGAAGCACAAACCAACACGGCTCATTGCATGGACTCTCCAGTAACATCAAAGGGCATTATGTGGGGGAGCTGGAGGTCACAATTGAAACACACAAGATTCCTGTCGATCATTGAAGGTCTAACACGCCCTTTCCAATGTTTGCTTCCTTCTTCAACTCCACAGGGATGGCTCAGTGCTGAAGCGGAAGAAACATTGCCGGAAGTGCCCCTGCCACCCTAGTCACCAGTCCAGGCTGCGACGGCAGCCCGCTCAAAGGGGCACGCGAGAGGCCAGCCGGGAAAGCTGGCCTGTCTCCACATGCCTAGGGCTTCAGAGATCCAAGTCACCAAGAGATGCCCTCCCTAGAATTCCACTTACCCTAGCCAGCTGAGTCCCCCCTTCAATAGCATTGTGCAGCCGGACAATTCCCACATACTCTTTGCCTGAAAAATGACAAAAGAGTAGTCAGGTGTGGCCACTGACTTTTCTGTATTTTTTTTTTTTTTCTCCTATCTCATCGCTCCTATTTTGTGCAGCAGGAAAAGCAGGCGATTGGACCTTCTTGTTCCTGTAAGATTTGCATTAAGACCCATTTCCCGGTGCAGGTGTGGGAAAGGGATGCAGACACAAGACAGTTGGAAAAGCCGGTGTGGAGCCAGCCTGGGAAAAACTCTGCAAGGTCAAGGCCGGAGAGTCTTCCCAGCTGAAAATTCGGGAAGAGCACTTTCTTTCTTTTTAATCCTCACCCTAGGATATTTTTCCAATGATTTTTAGAGTGAGTGGAAGAAAAAAGACAGAGATACCACTGTGAGAGAAATGCAGATAAACTGCCTTCTGCTCACGCCTTGATCAGGGCCCCAGGCCTGGGAGGAGCCTGCAAACTGAGGTATGTGCCCTTGATCAGCATCAAACCCAGGATGCTTAGCTGATGCTCTATCCACTGAGCCAAACTGGCTAGGGTGGGAAGGGCTCTTTAGACAGAAGTCAGATGAGCCCGGAGTGATGAGCTGAGCTGGACTGCCTCAGTGCTAGGAGCAGACATGGCTAGCTCCATGTACACACGCATGTAGTAACCTAGCACTCTGAGAAAAAGGCAGACAAGTAGCACAGAAGGCACACAGGAAAGTAGGAATTTTTTTTTTTTTAAACTAATGAAGAAATCGATTTCAAGAGCCAAAACGTGGAAGGGAAAAAGAAACACGGAAAACCTTCCAGTGGCCATGGGCCACCTCTCCCACACATACCTGCACTCTGCTGCGATTTTACCAAGCGGGTGGCTCGTTCTATGCACACGATTAAACAGCCGGTCACTTTGGGGTCCAGAGTACCACTGTGTCCTGTCTTCTCCACCCGGAGTATTCGTCGGATCCAGGCTACCACCTCGTGGGAAGAGGGGTTAGAGGGCTTGTCAAGATTAATGAACCCTGTCCTAGAATGAAAAAGAAATGTCTGGGCATTGGTTCTGGTCCCCTAAGCGAAACGGAACCTGAAGAGGAAAAGAGAATCCACCCTGGGTCCCGGCGCGGGAGATTTAGGGCAATCCCATTCTAAGATGCCGCTCCCTCCTTAAATAACTGGTGCTAAAAGGTGACATTATAAATAAAGAGAACAGAAGTAAGAACAGCGCTCGCTCCAAACACACTTACCTGATATAATCGCCAATCTCCCTCTTCAGAGGATTTGAGCCACAGGGAAGAGGCGTATAGTGTGTCGTCCTTATATTTAGCTTATCAAAATTCTAGAAAGCAACACAAAAGAAACTGTTGATACATGTCAAACAAGAAATGAGCACCCACCATCATCAGTGATATGGTTACCCTTCAAGCTCACAAACTTGATTCTGCTCCTATATTTTCCTTATCTGCTGTGACGGACTGCTAAGCCTCCTTCTAGAACCAGGAAAATTACTCACGGGCAGTAAGACAAAGGTGATCACTCCTCTAGAAAGAGCCTCTTTGGGGCGCTACAGATCAGACTGGCTTCACAAATGCTCCTCTCTGTCTGTCTCATGTCTGCTCCTTGTTACTCTCCTTTCTGAAGCGCGATCACTGGTCTGAAAGCACCGACTACCTTTCATATCACCTGCTCCCCCGTTTGGTTTTCTTATGGTGTTTACCACAAATAGCAATTCTTTTAAACCATTGCCCACCCTGGATTTTAAGTTCCAGTAGAGACATTGTCTAGCAGGTTCACTAGCATATTCCCAAGGCCTGCAATAGAAAAGCAGATGATGTCCAAACGGCAGGCACATCTGGCTGCACAGAAACTCAACTGTGTGGAATTCTAGAAACAAAGCTCATTCCTTTCCCGTCTATGTTTTATTAAAACACCTTGTCAAGCCAGGACCGGTCTGGCTCAGTGGATAGAGCGTTGGCCTGTGGACTGAAAGGTCCCGGGTTCGATTCCGGTCAAGGGCATGTACCTTGGTTGCGGGCACATCCCCAGTAGAGGGTGTGCAAGAGGCAGCTGATAGATGGTTCTCTCTCATCGATGTTTCTAACTCTATCCCTCTCTCTTCCTCTGTGAAAAATCAATAAAATACAGTTTAAAAAAAATAAAAAATAAATTTTAAAAAATTAAAAAAATAAAACACCTTGTCAAGGTGTGTTCTCAGGAACCTCTTCTACCTTAACCTTTCCTCCCAATCTCAGAGCTGGTGCCTACCCAGTCCTTTATGAAACGTGTAATTCAAGTCATTAGTAAACCGTCTTATTTAAAACCCAGTATAATAATCAATCATTTCTAGAGGACATGTTACATGCCAGGCACTATGACTAAACATGTTTTATGGATTGCCGTTGGCTTGTCTTCCTAAAAGATATTATGAGCAAACAGCTTCAGAGGTAAAATGACTGGCCCAAGGTCACACACTGCCCATGCTTCTCAAGCCCTAAAGTAGTCCTACTCCATGTGTGGCCCTCAAACTGGTACCAGTCGGTCAAGTGAAGTACAAAAACCAAGAACTAATTGCTTATAAACTTTGATAGCAATTTGATGTTTTGACATTTTAACTGGAAATAAAAACAAACAAACAAAAACCTGGTCTTTCATCTCAGATCTTGAGAAACACTGCTTTTAGACTATCACCTGGCACTTCTAAAAGTGAAGGATGTTAGCATTAAGAACTCTGAAGGGCCCTAGCCGGCTTGGCTCAGTAGATAGAGCATCAGCCTGCAAACCAAAGGGTCCCAGGTTCAATTCCAGCCAAGGGCACATGCCTAGGTTGCAGGTTCAATCCCTAGTAAGGGGCGTGCAGGAGGCAGCCCATCAATGATTCTCTCTTCATTGATGTTTCTATCTCTCTCCTTCTCTCTTTCTCTCCGAAATCAATAAAAATGCTTTTAAAAAAGAACTCTTGCCAAAACCGGTTTGGCTCAGTGGTAGAGCGTCCGTCTGTGGACTGAAGGGTCCCGGGTTCCATTCCGGTGAGGGGCATGTACGTTGATTGTGGGTACATTCCCGGTAGGGGGTGTGCAGGAGGCAGCGGGTTGATGTTTCTCTCTCATCGTTTCTAGCTCTCTCTCTCCCTTCCTCTCTGTAAAACATCAATAAAATATATATTAAAAAAAAAGAACTCTTAATGAACCGTTGAACCTTTAGAAATAATATAAAAACCAGGCACTGACCTCATGCAATCTTAGCCACATACCTTTAGCAACAGGGGCCACTGAGACGTGTCCAGCTGAGCCACTTTGGATTCAGGTTTGATAAGAAATTCTCCAACGTGTTGGATTTCCTTTCAAGGACAGAAACACACTTCAGTATTACCACCAAAGCCTACGCCCCTTCAACAGGAAGCCAGCTAGCCTAGGCCTCTTCACTGAGACCCACAAGGGAAAGAGAAGAAATAAGCCAGGACCTCAGAAGGGTCTGGGTATTTAAAGAGAAAGAGGGATGGTTGGTCTGTAGGTGGAATAAGAAAAAGTTTCAGGGAAAGCAGTTGGTCTGGCCAACACCACTTAGCGAGCTGTAGGTGATGGGAGATTTAGGTTGGCTGGGATGTTGTACAAAGACCACGCAATTCTGACCCATTCCTTCAAAACCTCTGCAAAGAGTTAAATTCGTTACCTAAGTTTTGCTTCTAGTCAAAACCAAGTTAAGACATATTCCTACTCACCGCAACATCTTCTTGTGGTAACGACTTGGACTCTTTTTTCTTTTTATGCTTCTTGGGCATAGTAACTGCTGGAAAACAAACAGACACGAGATTCGGGAGTTCTTTCCGAAAATAAAAGCAATGAAGTTTTTAAAACAGAGAAGGAACCGGGGCAGGTAGGCAATGGATGCTTGGTCTACCATTACTTGGGAAAACAAAGTGTGTGTCAGGCCAAACGCGCGCGGGCTGCGGGGCTCAGTAAGAGCTTAGATGCGGTCGCACGTGTCAGCTCCCATTACGTTCACCACGTGGCGGGGCTCCCTACGCTGCAGACGCGCTCGGGCCCGCGTGCCCGAAAGTTCCATTAAGTGCCTCCTTGACTCTCCCCGCGTGCTTGCGACCTCCAGAACTTTCTTGCGTGGCAAAGCTCCGCCCGAGTCCCCCCACCCCTTTGCATCCGCACGCACTGCGACCATCCTTTCCTCCCTTGCCCCGAGCAATGCCGGAAGCACCGAGCTCCTGGTGCACGCCAGCAGGGCCGTCGCCTTTCGTTGGCGATCCCGGGCCCTAAGAAGGTTGTGCTGTCAGCGGGAGGCCCGGGCCTCGTAGCGCCTGGGCTCATCGCGAGGGCCTCCCGCGTTCATGCCCTAAAGCCGCAGAGCCAAGGCCAAGAGCAAGACTGGCAGGAGGCTCAGCAGCGACCCGAGCCGCGCGGGGCAACTGGAGCTAACGGGGAGCTCCGACTGCGACGCCGGCCCCGGACCCAGGACCTCCGACGCAGCAAAGCTGGCCCCAGACGGGAAAACAGCCAGAGCAATCGTGACGGAACGATCCCTACCTTCCATATCCGCCATGTTCCCCGGCACAGCGTGCAAGCCGCGTGAGCCACCGCCAAAAGAGCGACTCTAGATTCCCACCGCCCAGAGGCCCCGCCGCTAGGCCCCGCCCACCTGCGCGCCTCCCCGTGCGTGCCGCGCCGCGGGGCGGGGCCAGGATGAAGGGGCCCGTGGCGCGCGCGGGCCACTTGCGCAATCTCATTGGCTGTCTTCTCCCCCTGCGGTGGCGCGCCTGCGCCCGCGCGTGCGCTCTGGGTCGCGGCCCCCGCCCTTGGCAGCTGGGCTGGGAAGCGCACAGGCAGCGCGTAGCCTGTGGGCGTGGCTTCGCTGGGTTTAACCCAGACTTGGGCACCTGGGCACCCCGCTGGGTACTCCATTCACGGTAGCTCGTTGCTGCCTCTCGCCGGCCCTTTAAGGTCACTATCGGATCAGTCCCGATAGAAAAAGGCAGACGTTAAGGTAAAGAGAGGTTGAAAGCCCTTTGCTACTTGCCGTTTCTCAGGCAGCAGCGGAGTCGCTGGCCAATAGGAATGGAGTGCGAGCCACTCGTGGGCTTTTCAATGTTCTGGCAGCCACACGGAGACAAAAAGTAAAAAGATAAAGTTGAAAACTATTTTAAAGATACATTTATTTAATCCAGACATCCATAATATTATTTCAACATGTAAGCAATACACAATACTATGAAGGGGATATTTTACGCGGGGGGGTTTTTAACCTTGCCTCTCTGAACGTGATGAATCCCTGGTTACTTATTTTTTTAAAAATATATTTTATTGATTTCAGAAAGGAAGGGAGAGGGAGAGATAGAAACATCAATGATGACAATCATTGATCAGCTGCCTCTTGCACGCCCCCTGCTGGGGATGAGTCTGCAACCAGGGCATGTGCCCTTGACAGGATTTGAATTGAGGACCCTTCAGTTCACAGGCTGACGCTCTATCCACTGAGCTAAACCAGTTAGGGAGCTAGTTATTTCTTTATTGCCATTATCTTTTCTAATGAGTTGCTGATGACAGAAGAGGGCAGTTATTGCTTTTCTTCCAATCCTCCTCTGCCAACCAAAAGAATAGAAAATTTTCCATTTTATTTTACTGTGGCTTAAAAAAAAAATGTTTGCTGAAACCGGTTTAGCTCAGTGGATAGAGCGTCAGCCTGCGGACTGAGGGGTCCTAGGTTCGATTCCAGTCAAGGGCATGTACCTTGGTTGCAGGCACATCCCCAGTAGGGGGTGTGCAGGAGGCAGCTGGTCGATGACTCTGTCATCGATGTTTCTAACTCTCTCCCTTCCTCTCTGTTCAAAGTCAATAAAATATATTTGAAAAAAAAAAACACACGAAAAACAAATGCTTGGTTTTTTCTCAGATAACTTTTACTTTATCAAGAATTTATTTTGGTGTGTGCCAAGGTAATGATAATTATTTAAATTTACTTTTTATAGATAACCAAAGCCGCCAGTACCAAACAACCCATGAGCAGTTTATTACTTCCCCCATTATTTTATAATATCCCAGCAGTACATGTTTGGTTGAATAGGTTTGAAGTACTCATTGGTGGTTCTTTTATGTAGTTCATCTTTCTCCAACACTCATCTGATCTGTTAGCAAAGCCTGTCATCTTTGCTTTCAAAAGAGATGCAGAGCCGGGTCGGCATTGCTCAGTGGTTGAGCATTGATCTATGAACCAGGAGATCACCGGTCCATTCCTGGTCCTGGCACATGACCGGGTTGCGAGTTTAGTCCCCAGTGGGGGTGAGGGTGAGGGATGAAGCCGATCAATAATTCTCTCTCATCATTGATGTTTCTCTCTCTCCCTCTCCCTTCCTCTCTGAAATCAATAAAAATAATTTTTAAGAGAGATGCAGCTCTAACTGGTTTGGCTCAGTGGATAGAGCATTGGCCTGCAGACTGAAAGGTCCTAGGTTCGATTCCAGTCAAGAGCATGTACCTTGGCTGCGGGCACATCCCCAGTAGGGAGTGTGCAAGAGGCAGCTGATCAATGTTTCTCTCTCATCCATGCTTCTGACTCTCTATCCCTCCCCTGCCTCTCTGTAAAAAATCAATAAAATAGCCTTAACCGGTTTGGCTCAGTAGATAGAGCATTGGTCTGTAGACTGGAGGGTCCCAGGTTAGATTTTGGTCAAGAGCATGTACCTTGGTTGCGGGCACATCTCCAGTAGGGGGTGTGCAGAGACAGCTGATCCATGTTTCTCTCTCATCGATGTTTCTGACTCTCTATCCCTCCTCTCTATAAAAAAAAAAATCAATGAAATATATTTTTTAAATCAATAAAAAATATTTGAAAAAGAGAGAGAGAGAGAGAGAGAGATGCAGAATCTAATGGTTTTTTTCACTGTTCTCACTGCTGTCACTGTAGTCCATGTCATCATTATGGCTCTCTTAGATTGTTTTTCAGTGGCCTCCTGCAGTTCCCTTTTCTCCTTTTTCCAAATATAGTGTCTTGTCAACACAGCAGCCGGAAAGAGCCATTAAACGCTAAGTCAGGCTATCGTCTGCTCAAAGCCCTTCAATGGCTTTCCTTCTGTAATGGGGTGAAGAGTGGGCCCTCAAAAGACCTGTACTAACTCCTGGAGCCTAGGAGTGCGGCCTTATTTGGAGGAAGGGTCTTTGTAGATATAATAAAGTATCTCAAGATGAAATCGTCCTGGATTGCCCAAGTGGCCCCAAATCCAACAACCAATGTCCACAGAAGAGAAGGAAAAGACAGAAGAGAAAGCCATGTAAAGATGGATGCACCTAGCTGGTTTGGCTCAGTGGATGGAGCGTTGGCCTGCAGACTCAAGGGTCCCGGGTTCGATTCCGGTCAAGGACATGTACCTTGGTTGCGGGCACATACCCAGTAGGGGGTGTGCAGGAGGCAGCTGGTCGACGTTTCTCTCTCATCGATATTTCTCTCTGTCCCTCTCCCTTCCTCTCTGTAAAAAATCAATGAAAATATATTTTTAAAAATCAATAAAATATATTTTTTAAAAGTTAAAAAAAAAAAGACGGATGCAGAGATTGGAGTGATTTCAATCTCTGGCCTGGATGACTATGAGAGAATAAATTTCTGTTGTTTACAGCCACCCAGTGTGGGGTCAGGTGTTAACGGTAGCCCCAGGAAACTCAAGTACCATCTCCCTAAGTGCTGTTCAGGATACTGCAGGCACATTCTTCCCTCTTCCTTACATATACTTTGTTTATTGTCTGTCTCTTCACAAGAACATTAACTTTATGAAGCCAGGAAATGTTTGTTTATTTTTCCCCCCAACCCCACCCCTGTTTGTTTATTTTTAAAATACCTTTTTATTGATTTCAGAGAGGTAGGGAGAGGAAGAAAGAGAGAGAAATATCAGTGATGCTGAGAGAACATGGATCAGCTGTCTCCTGCACACCCCGCAGTGGGGATCCAGTCCACATCCCAGGCATGTGCCCTGATCTGGAATCAAACCTTGACCTCCAGGTTCAAAGGTCGATGCTCAACCACTGAACCATACTGGCTGGGCAATTTTGTCTATTTTGTTCACTGCTCTATACTTAGCTCCTAGAAGATGTTCAGTAAATATTGGTTGAATTAATCTCTATATATTTTTAAAATATATTTTATTGATTTTTTTTTTACAGGAGGAAGGGAGAGGGATAGAGAGTCAGAAACATCGATGAGAGAGAAACGTTGATCAGCTGCCTACTGCACACTCCCTAATGGGGATGTGCCCTCAACCAAGTACATGCCCTTGACTGGAATGGAACCCAGGACCCTTCAGTCAGCAGGCCGACGCTCCATCCACTGAGCCAAACCAGTCAGGGTGAATCTATATCTTTTTGTTTGGTTTTTTGTTTAAAATATATTTTTATTGATTTTTTTTACAGAGAGCCAGAAACATTGATGAGAGAGAATCACCAATCAGCTGCCTCTTGCACACCCCCTACCAGGGACATGCCCACAACCAATGTACATGCCCTTGACCGGAATCGAACCCAGGACCCTTCAGTCGGCAGATCGACGCTCTATCCACTGAGCCATACTGGTTTTGACATGAATCTATATCTTTTTAACCCAGAAACTTGATGGATCTTACCTCCTCAGCAGGAACAGCTTCTCCTCCCATTCTGATGTAGCTGATCCTGCCTTTCTTGGAAACTTCATTATTCTGGTCCCTTGCTGAGCAAGGGGATGCCAATTCTTCTTGTGCTCAACTCCTCCATCCCTCATTGTCTCAATCCCAGCTTGCAGGGAGGTAGCAATGGAGGAATGGAGTTGTCATGTGCACCCCACTGGCGCACCCCTTAACTACATTCCCTGAGAGGGCTCAAAGGACATTCTTTTCACCAAAACACTTAGACCAGTGGTTCCCAACAGGCGCCCACGCCCACAGGGGGAAGCAATTTGATTTTTAAGGGGACAATTTGAGAATGAGTTAACGGTGAATTTTTTTTTATTATATTTTATTGATATTTTACAGAGAGAAGGGAGGGAGAGAGATAGAGAGCTAGAAACATCAATGAGAGAGAAACATCGACCAGCCGCCTCTTGCACACCCCCCACTGGGGATGTGCCCGCAACCAATGTACATGCCCTTGACTGGAATCGAACCCGGGACCTTTCAGTCCGCAGACCGACGCTCTACCACTGAGCCAAACCAGTTTCGGCTAACAGTGAATTTTTTGCATTTCATATGGTCCTAGGGGCCTCATATATAGGATATGAATACATACTGTGACATTTATGCTTTCAGTTATTATATGTTTTGAAACTTTATTTGCTATTTTTTCATATCACTTCATATTAATATTTTTAAAACAATTTCTTAGTGATTTCTTCCTCAGTACTTCAACTGTCCTTCCATTCTTTTGTTTTTCTCTTTCATGGGTGTGAATAGTTCACTTTTTTTTTTTTAAATACATTTTATTGATTTTGTACAAAGAGGAAGGGAGAGAGATACAGAGTTAGAAACATCGATGAGAGAGTTATCGATCAGCTGCTTCCTGCACACCCCCTACTGGGGATATGCCCGCAAC